ATATATATATATGTATATGTCCGTACATATCCGTATATGAAAATTGAGATCGGTAGCTATTCTCTTGCTGGCAAGTTGCTCCACTCTGCTCCTGCTCCCAAGATGGGTAGATGCGGCCTGCCGCATGGCCTGCCTGTTGCAAGTCGCGATTTTTTTTTGAGACTGTTTATTAAATAATTTGGGTCAGATGAAGTACAGCAATTAATTTGGTTATTCTGTGACTTGTGGCATCAAACACCAAATTCGTGCTCATGGCAAATTGATGTCAATAGATTTGAGCAGATTTCAATTGCAGCTTTCAATGTCAGTTGCCAGGATCTCCACTGCTCAAACGCTAACCGTGAAACACTGGAACAGACTCGTCAGACATTTGGTTGGAAGATGTGTTAAATAACAGGCGGGGCTGTCAAAGGTGAAACCCGCGAACGAGCAAACCACACGGTGATGGCCCCTGCCGCATTTGTGCCAGAGGGTGCAGCTGCAGCACTTCCGGCCAAAAACTGAAATGATCTGGAGGTAATTAATCTAGAAAAATACTCAGGTACATGAGTGGGTCTCCCGCCAAGCCCAGGGTGTGACTGCCTCAGAGGAAATTTCTGAACTCTGAGTCGAGCTGCGATACATTGGCACCTCCGTCCCACTGGTTGAAAACTTGAAAGCGGGAAAAGGATACTGCAGGGGTATCGGCACTGGGAATTTAGGGTATAACTACGTACAGTAGAACCACAAAACATAAGGGCTGAACCAACAAAGAAGGCGCTCATATAACCACCAAAAGACAGGGCTTACACACCGGAATGGCGGATGAGAACCACCAAAACTGAGGGGGCAACCCTTTGAAATCACGCAAGAAATGGATATTGATGTTACCATCCACTTTTTTACCCAATGGAGATGATCCTATGGTCCTATGATGTCCTCAAGGGCCATCTATCCACCCGGATCATCTACCACACTACTTCTGGAATTCTTCATCTGGACACCCCGTATCACCCAATGCTGACATCAAAACCATAGTAGGGTATATAACTGACTCCACATTTTGCTCTCCAAAAATTTGAAGAAAAAAACGGTTTTAAAGGAAAAGACGAATCTGTTGAGAACCTGCTGTCATTTAAGGCCCGCGGCAAATACGCCAGGAGCCACGAATTTACATGCATCGGCCCAAAGCCCTCAAGTGAAATCGCCTCCTCTAGAGGTGAGGTGTAAGATCTTAAGTCCACCATCGGCGCAGGTCGTACCTCAATCTGGCCAAAGCTCAAGCCCGAAACTATTCCAATCTCCAGGTCTGCCAACTCCACTGCACTCTTCGGGAATTTGCTCTGCTCTACACTACTCCTGCTCTTCGCATCCTTCCACAGCCTCTGCTCATATTCAAATCCAGTCCATTTACCCAAGTGAATCTGTCTAGACACTTAAATAGTGCGCACAGGTTTTTGCAATTTGTTGCGACAACTTGCCGTTTGAAAGCTTTGTTCAGAGTATATCAATGGTTCGTTCGCTTTTGGCTGGTACTCCGCAAGCTACCATTGCCATCTTTTCTGTGACATTTTCCCTTCCCACCCGCCACATGACCCGGGTAGATGACATGCTGAGCGCCGGACTGCGGGAAAGTGATTAGGAAACATGGGCATGGCAGGTAAGCTGAAGGCCCCGAGATCGGGCGAAGCTCCTGCCATGGGCCTCCACAGGGGCAACCACGACCCGAAGCAAAGTCGCTTTTCAGTCTCAAGCTGGGCACAAACATTCCACACAAGCAGCTCAAGACAAAGAAATCCTATGAAATTACACTTTTTCACCCCATGTCCACCCGTGCATTCAGCATTCGTGACATCCATCGCATTTGGTGGCTACTCGCGCGCCTCAAATCTAGCCGACCAGCCTGATGACAGCAAGCCGCTAAAATCGGCAGGGAGGGCGCGAGAAAACACTTGAAAGGGTGCTCTTTGCAGTCAATTGTCGCAAACAACCCAGTTTTTCTTCAGCTCATGTCCACTGTTTTTCTTATTAGTATTCTTCCTCTGCTTATCCTTCCTCTTTTTTGTCTTCTTATTGTTATCCTTCTCTTTCTCTTTCTCTTTCTTCTTCTCCTTCTCGTTCTGCTTCTCTTTCTTCTTCTGCTTCACGTTCTCGTTATTCTTCTTCTTCTTCCTCTTCTTCTTCTCCTTCTCCTTCTCCTTCTCCTTCTCCTTCTCCTTCTTCTTCTTCTTCTTCTACTTCTTCTTCTTTTTCTTCTTCATCCTCTTCTTGCTGCTTTTGTTCATATTGTTTTTGTTGTTGTTCTTGTAATTGTTCTCGTTCTTCTCGTTGTCGTTCTTATATTATTGTTGGTCGTTGCTGTTGCCGTTGCTGTTGCCCTTGCTGTTGCAGTTGCTGTTGCAGCTGTTGTTGCCGTTGCTTGCTGTTGTTGCTGTTGCTGTTGCTGTTGCTGCTGCTGTTATGGTTGTGGTTGTGGTTGTGGTTGTGCTGGTGCTGGTGCTGCTGCTGCTGCTGCTGCTGCTGCTGCTGCTGCTGGTGCTGCTGCTGGCGCTGCTGCTGGTGCTGCTGCTGGTGCTGCTGCTGGTGCTGGTGCTGCTGCTGGTGCTGCTGCTGCTGCTGCTGGTGGTGGTGGTGCTGCTGTGGTGTGGTGCCCCGCTACTGGTTGTGTTGTGGTTGCTGGTTGCTGGTTGCTGGTTGCTGGTTGCTGGTTGCTGGTTGCTGGTTGCTGGTTGCTGGTGGTGCTGCTGCTGCTGCTGCTGCTGCTGGTGGTGGTGGTGGTGGTGGTGGTCTTCTTCTTCTTCTTCTTCTTCTTGCTCTTGTTTTTGTTCTTGTTCTTGTTCTTGTTCTTGTTATGCGTGTTATGCGTGTTATGCGTGTTATACGTGTTGCTAGTATTTTGTTGTATTTGCTATTATAATCAGTAAAGCATTCTTATTATTATTGTTCTGCTTTTCTGCCTGTTCTTCTTGTTATTATTGCTCTTGTTTTTGGTGCCGGGCATCTGAGCCGGCCCCCGCTGTTGTCACTTTTCAAACATTTTACAGGGGGGACCACAAAACGCTGAAAAACGAAACCTTAGCATCAGGAGCAATTTCATCATCATCATCATCATCACCATCATCATCATCATCATCTGCATGTTGATCATTCTGGAGATGGCACTTTGTCAAGCGCATTTTTCAAGCGGGGGCAGCGAGACATCCAAGCTTATGCAAAGCTTTGGAGGCATCCATGTCTTGCGACAGGTGGGTATAAGAACGTACAGCAGCGTAGCATGACGTATGTGTGCAAGTGCATGAGAACGTACAGCAGCGTAGCATGACGTATGTGTGCAAGTGCATGAGAACGTACAGCAGCGTAGCATGACGTATGTGTGCAAGTGCATGAGAACGTACAGCAGCGTAGCATGACGTATGTGTGCAAGTGCATGAGAACGTACAGCAGCGTAGCATGACGTATGTGTGCAAGTGCATGAGAACGTACAGCAGCGTAGCATGACGTATGTGTGCAAGTGCATGAGAACGTACAGCAGCGTAGCATGACGTATGTGTGCAAGTGCATGAGAACGCGTAGCAGACAAAGTGCATGAGAACGTATGACGTGTGTGCAAGTGTATGTAAAGTGCATGAGAACGTACAGCAGCGTAGCATGACGTATGTGTGCAAGTGCATGAGAACGTACAGCAGCGTAGCATGACATGATAGCATGTGTATGTGTGCAAGTGCATGAGAACGTACAGCAGCGTAGCATGACGTATGTGTGCAAGTGCATGAGAACGTACAGCAGCGTAGCATGACGTATGTGTGCAAGTGCATGAGAACGTACAGCAGCGTAGCATGACGTATGTGTGCAAGTGCATGAGAACGTACAGCAGCGTAGCATGACGTATGTGTGCAAGTGCATGAGAACGTACAGCAGCGTAGCATGACGTATGTGTGCAAGTGCATGAGAACGTACAGCAGCGTAGCATGACGTATGTGTGCAAGTGCATGAGAACGTACAGCAGCGTAGCATGACGTATGTGTGCAAGTGCATGAGAACGTACAGCAGCGTAGCATGACGTATGTGTGCAAGTGCATGAGAACGTACAGCAGCGTAGCATGACGTATGTGTGCAAGTGCATGAGAACGTACAGCAGCGTAGCATGACGTATGTGTGCAAGTGCATGAGAACGTACAGCAGCGTAGCATGACGTATGTGTGCAAGTGCATGAGAACGTACAGCAGCGTAGCATGACGTATGTGTGCAAGTGCATGAGAACGTACAGCAGCGTAGACATGACGTATAGCGCACATGTATGCATGACCAAGTGCATGAGAACGTACAGCAAATGACGCTATTATCCCACCCCCCCACCCCACCCACCCCCCCCCACCCCCCTCGTCTATGATGTTGTTTTTAGTGTAATGTCAAAAAGTAACAACAGCGGGGGCCGGCTCAGATGCCCGGCACCTTGTTTTTGTTCTTCTTCTTCTTCTTCTTCTTGTTCTTCTTCTTGTTCTTCTTGTCCTCTTGTTCTTCTTGTTCTTCTTTGCTTCTTGTTGCTATTTCTTTGGTGTCCTTGTCGCTGTTGCCCTTGTTCCTTTCATCGTGCTCTCTTGTGTAGATTTACTTGCTTTCTGTATCATTCTGTATCATTGGCAGAATAGATCATGATTGTGAGATTATCCATTTTGCGATTGCTGTTCGTCTTGTTACTGCCTGAGTTCTGGTTGTCTTCGTTGTCAGGAAGTCGATATACACTTCAGTCAATGCGCATACCGAACGCTGCAAACACTGTTCACACCCTTTGTTACGATGTCGTGAAGGCCCTGATTTGCTACTTTTTGGCAAGACCAGCCGAAAATCAGTTTGACTGTCTATTGGATCGGACAACCCTTCATGGCTCTGGTTATTTCCTCCAGTCAGGACTCGCAACCTCAATAGTTAGAAAGCTCCACGAATGAGCTCTCCAAATCCCAAGTCCAATAGTCTTGTTCTTCCAAATGAATGTTTGCAAGTGAAATCGAATCTCAAGGGATTCAAGTAGCGTCGGCGGGCCCAAAGCCCTCAAGTGAAATCGCCTCCTCTAGAGGTGAGGTGTAAGATCTTAAGTCCACCATCGGCGCAGGTCGTACCTCAATCTGGCCAAAGCTCAAGCCCGAAACTATTCCAATCTCCAGGTCTGTCAACTCCACTGCACTCTTCGGAATATTGCTCTGCTCTACACTACACCTGCTCTTCGCATCCTTCCACAGCCTCTGCTCATATTCTAATCCCGTCCATTTACCCAAGTGAATCTGTCTGGACACTTGAATAGTGCGCACAGGTTTTTGCAATTTGTTGCGACAACTTGCCGTTTGAAAGCTTTGGTCAGAGTATATCAATGGTTCGTTCCCTTTTGGCTGGTACTCCGCAAGCTACTATTGCCATCTTTTCTGTGACATTTTCCCTTCCCACCCGCCACATGACCCGGGTAGATGACATGCTGAGCGCCGGACTGCGGGAAAGTGATTAGGAAACATGGGCATGGCAGGTAAGCTGAAGGCCCCGAGATCGGGCGAAGCTCCTGCCATGGGCCTCCACAGGGGCAACCACGACCCGAAGCAAAGTCGCTTTTCAGTCTCAAGCTGGGAACAAACATTCCACACAAGCAGCTCAAGACAAAGAAATCCTATGAAATTACACCTTTTCACCCCATGTCCACCCGTGCATTCAGCATTTGCGACAAGTCCACCAGCTATCCATCGCATTTGGTGGCTACTCGCGCGCCTCAAATCCAGCGGACCAGCCTGATGACAGCAAGCCGCTAAAATCGGCCAGGAGTTTGAAAGGGAGCTTTGTTCAATAGATTTGAAGACAAAGAATGAATCCATGGGAGACACTTGCAAGTCAGCTTAAAACCTGCAACGGAGACGAGATCGCAGAGAGCATGCCAAACAAACAGCATGTTTTCTCCAAAGGGTCAGGGAGTATGCCTCGGGGTTGTTGCCAAGTAAATCTGGGAAAGGAAGATAGCCTGAGATAGGGGAGGGGGGAGGTTGCTAAGTAAAGCTGGAAAAGAAAGCGCCTTGCCTTACTTCTGGCAGCCTCAGAGATCCTGAAGTGGTTCAGGGCCTCAATGCTTTCAGGAACGCAAAGGAATGGAAGGGTGGCAGAAAAGCTCAAGTGATGACTGCAAGCCGATACTTGCACTAATGCATATACAGTGTATGTGTATATATATATACATATAAATGTAACATATATATATATATACACATATGTGTATATATATACATATAAATGTAACATATATATATATACACATATGTGTATATAAATATGTATACATCTATAAGTATATATATGTATATATATTGGATTCAAGCAGGCATTGCACATTTTATGCCGTGCACGAAGGCTCTGCTACCTTGACCATGTTAGTCAAGGTCCCTTAAAAATGCCCAGATTAGGGACACTCAAATTGTCCATGGCAGGACATGTCTAAACGCCCATGGCAGGGCTTTGATGGTCATGTAGACCCATGCATGGTGCTCATGGCAGAGCACATCAAAACGATGTCCATGGCAGGACTAACTCAGCCACGTACACCAGTTTTTCTCTTCTTTCCATTCCCCTTCCTTGGGTGGGTGGTGTGGGAGCCCAAAAGCTGCACCAACACCATAAAAGGTTACATGTACCTGTTTCATCCAAGAAGTCGAAGCGACCACATTGGATTCAAGCAGGCATTGCACATTTTATGCCGTGCACGAAGGCTCTGCTACCTTGACCATGTTAGTCAAGGTCCCTTAAAAATGCCCAGATTAGGGACACTCAAATTGTCCATGGCAGGACATGTCTAAACGCCCATGGCAGGGCTTTGATGGTCATGTAGACCCATGCATGGTGCTCATGGCAGAGCACATCAAAACGATGTCCATGGCAGGACTAACTCAGCCACGTACACCAGTTTTTCTCTTCTTTCCACGCCTCCCAGCCGCATAAGCGTGGTGCTCGTTGGCGAAGATCGACGAAAACCTAGCCACCTTAAACTTGGAAGACATTGTCATCTGCAACCTGGGAAGCATTGAAAGGCCATCGGAGATGTAAATTCGAGCCACATTGCTATTTTTCCATCTTCCTCGAATGAGCGTACGCTCCATGAGGCCGTGTGTTTGCATTTCAAATGTAGCACCACCCCGTCTGAGGCTGTAAGGCCTAAAGTTTAAATGGGTCAGCTCCAGCTCTTCCAGGATGCGACGGAACTGCTCCCGAAACGCTGATCCACTGCGGTCCCAGCATGGGGTGTTCTCAAAGCCCTGGGCTCGTCGCACCTCAAGCATGGCCAGCACTGTTTCCAGCGTGATAGGATCGCGTATGGTCACGCTCTCCCGCACGTTGTGCCGGACTCCGCTTTTACTGCTGGGGATTGAAACCAGGCCCACTTTATTGTCACAAATGAAATCACACGGCCTGATTTGTAACAGCTCCCCCGTCCGCATCAGACAGTGAAACCCTAGAAGCAATAAAGCTCCCATGGTAAGCTCTGAATGGGTGATGGAGAACCCCGCCATGGCCAAAACAATGTCCTTGGTCAGCGGTGGCGCCCGACAGGGCACTTCATAGCGTCTCCAAATGGAGTACAAGCGCCAGCTCTGGGTGAGCTTCTTCTTGGTGTAGGGCTCGAAGTGATGAAGCCCACTGAGGGCATCAGCCACAAGGTGAAGAGGGCAGCCATCTTCAAATTGCTCCTGTATCCATTCTGCGATGAATTCGTCCAGCTCCAGCTCAGTGTTGACCTGTTCTAACACCGGGGCCAAACGTGAAACTGCAAAGAAGTAGCGCTCCAATGTCGCGCTAGTGATACCAATGTCCCCCAGGACTATATCCAATCTGGCCCGACGACGCTCAGCCTGACTGGCATGCCCTGGCCACATCTTACGCTCTGCTGTCATGATCGGTGGGGTTCTCCGTACTTTCAACGTGGGAGATGATCAGCTGGAGGTCAAAGGTGAGGAGGATGGCACCCAAGCGCCGCAGCAACGGCTTCAACATCCGTGAGGACGAGCGACCCTTCGAGATGATACTCATACAAATATAAGAATCAGTTAAGTGAAAGATCCTCACGTGATGTTCTTTGAGATGCCTTACCCTCCATTCGATGGCATGTATAATAGATCGTAACTCTAGGCTGTTGATGTGATCATGTTTTTGCCACCTGTATGCGAACACTTTTGACCATTCCCACCAGTCAGCTAGTGCACTCTGCCTAGGAAAAGCCTTAGGGTTGAGCACCAAACCGCTGGCAATCCTGACATCTGACCCCGTGTGGTTGACCCTCCGGAGTAAACAACTGTGCAACCCAGAAACAGGAAAACTCTTGTCGAAAGACCGTACGAAAGCTCCCGGGTAAGTGGGATTTCCACATCCAGACTACAGCAAAACCCTGGGGGCATACCCATCCTATTTGCCAACATTCCATAACGGGGGACACTGACCCATTGTTGAACCAACATGGCCGCCACATAAGAAAAGGAGTAGCAACTGAAACTGTCCCCCACCAGGGTTTTCCGCAAATCTTCGTATTCTTGGGGTGATCTCTTGATGTCAGAAGCGTTCCAACACAAGCTTGTGTGCCCCGCTCCCAATCCATGAAGTAACTCCCTTTCCAATGACGAAATGAGTCTCCATCTATTGCCAACCCAAATGATGAAGCGATGATGGTATTGATATGGGGGGAACTTGAAATCGTCAGCCACCCACCTACATTTACCATCATGGTCAACCCTGTCAAGTCCGGCTGGAGCAGGGGGTGGCCGTGACCTTTTAATACACTTCATGCAAGTTGGAAGAGTTGCCCCTTCTTGAAACCCAGGCCATTCTGCCCCTGGCTCCAGCCACTGTGATAGCTCTGGGAACGGGTGTTGGATGGTGATCTCGACCCACCTTTCTTTTTCCTGCACATCTACACCGTCCATAGGTGCCAAGTCGGTATTCGACCAGCAGAACCTGGGCCTGTGAATTGGGACTGTGTGACAAGGGTCCAGGCGCAAGGGTTTCCCGCCAAGGACCTGTGAAATCTCGCCCTCTGCCGCAGCGTCCATGCTCGAGACGTTCTCCACCACGTAGCGAACCTTGAAGCTGTAGCCATACACCTTCCGGATGTCTTTCACGATCCGGGGTATTTCAAAGAAAAGGCTGCTTTGATCTCCCTCCAAGTTTTGTCTTCCCAGCTTCACTCGGCTCAAGTCCACGCATGGGAAGCCAGCCCACACATGCACCTCCTCCACCTCTGGGTGGAGGTATCGCCAGCGCTTTATGGTGGCCAGGTCAATGGACCTCACGTCCTTGCAAATCTCCACATGGGGCCACCTCCTTGAAGTGATTCTGTTTGCGGCTGCATTGAGCTCGTATGATATGGCCACCATCGGTCGCACCCCACAGAGGTCGTAACACCGGAAGGCACAGCCGATGCCGTTGAATAACGACAGCACCAGCACCGGTATTACCAGCCCCCCAGTTTGGCCGCCTCGGTCCAGCCCGACAAACTGGCTGCCAGCTTTGCTGGGGGAAACACTCTTCCCAACCGCTCCACCAGTCGATGAAGCGTCACTGGCAGTCGTCACCTCGCTGAGTGTCGACCGCAAGCTTGTATGGACCAGCAAGCTCATCAGGCAGCACCCAAACAGTTCACCCCGGACCTTGGCCTCCACGGACTCACCAGAGACCTGCCCAGAGATGAACATCCATGTATAGTCCAAAGCCGCCATGGCTGGTCTCCTGAAAACCATGCAGTGAACCCATCTGCCAGCGATCACCTGGACCCACTTCTTCCTCAGCCTGCCTTTGGCCAATACTACCAGCGTCGATTGCACCAGTTTGAGCAACCTCTCAGGACTGGGTCCAAGAGTCCCCTTGACTCCATCCACTTGTGCCCCAAGCTCTTGCACCACACCTGCCTCCGAGACTCGCTTCTTTGCTGAAGATAGCACTCCTGCGCGTTCCCAAGCCTTTTCAAGGGCCAGGTGCAATTCAGCACCTGAAGCCCTATCAGGGTCATCTCCAACCTTTTCCATCGCACAGAAGTTATCCAGATACACGTGATACCAAGGCTTCCCCTTGGACTCTGCTAGATCCAGCGTGTCGGTCAACCACACTGGGAGAGGTGAGGTCCGACGAACCCTATGCGATGCTGGCAGCCGACCCAGCACCGTCAGCCTCTCAGCGATCTCCTGCATGACCGAGACGGCTGAATGCCATCCCATTGGAATCACTGAGCACGCGGGGCGGTACACAGTGCCCTTCTGGAGCCCAAGGGATTCACCGGGAAAAGCAATGTTGAAAGCCAAGTTTGGCGCCCAACACGCTGGAAGTTTGAAGAGGTAGAACGCTGAGGACATGTCACTTTGAAACATAGCCAGTTTTTCACTTCTGTTCAGAACCAGGGAGAGATACTGGCAGATCGAGGGGAGGTCACCCGTAGCCCCTTCAACTTGCGAAAAACACGCATTGGTGGGTATAAGGTTCATTATAGTTCGTTGAACTTCTTCACCAGTTGATAAGAAGGTATTTTTACCCACGGCAAACATTCCATTCAGTACCTGTTGATTGTTCACCCGCAAAACATCTTCATCAGCTACCCACGTGCAAATACGCCGTTCTACCAACAGTTGAAAATACTCCAGAGCCTCATGAGGGGAAATGTGGACCTTAGCCTGCAGTTTAACACCTTCTTTTGGGGTTTCCAACAACGACTCTTCAGGGTGTTCAAGGAGCCGTCGGGTACCTTCTGAAACCAAACCCAGCGCATCAATGGACCCCCCGTGCGACACTGGCGGAAGTGCCGCTTGTGCCGCTTTTAGGGTTAATACTTGCATCTTCGGGACCTCCTCCCCGGAGTAACTAAGGAACCGGCTTGAAAGCTCTTTTTCCGCCTGCTCACAAGTCCGCGTAAGGCGGGTCTCAAGATCCAGCACCCTGTTGATGCTGCGCCCGATCGCCTTTGTCGCCTCCTTCTGGGCCTCAGTGCCCTTCCTCAAAGGCGCCACATGGCCATGTCCAGCCAATCCATTGACGCCCAGGATTCCCAGCGCCAACCAGACGTCCGCAGCACTCGGCAGCGCAAAATGCGCATTGCAAAAATCATCCAGGGCCATGCTCTGAGCGGCCTCATGGACATTTGAAACAACACCCAAAGGAAGGGGAAAAAGGGAGCGGATCCTTTGAGGACCACTCCGGTGCACGGCACAGCCAATCACTGACTTTCCCAGCACCGCCTGGCGTAGGGCCAGCGAAACGCCCCTTTCCAACTCCAGCCGGGAGAAATTAAAAACCATCCAAGCCATCGCGCGGCCCAAGGTGCCAAAGTCACCGCACCTAGCCGCCAACAGCTTAAAAATCCTCCCGCTTTTCTCCAACCGAAGTGGCAAGGGCACGGACGCTTCCAGCCCCACCTGAGTTGCAACCAGCTGTAAATTCTGTGAAACCCGAGCCTCTGCACTCACTTCTTTGGCGCCTCCTCCTTGTTCTCGCGCCAACTGTTCTGATCGCCCTTGGGGGCTCCCCAGCTCTGCTCCTTCGCTCCTTTGCCTTTGCCGCGGCCCCCCCGGCCTTTCTGGTCCCCCTTCTTCCCTTTCGTGCCAGCACCAGTCCCTTTGCCTCGACCAGTGCCCGGCCACCACGTCAGGGAAGTGGGAAGGCCCTGAGATTTCATCACCAGTCGGCGATGCTTGTGGGCCTCCAACATGGTGGCCGTATTGGCCGATTGAATCGGCTCCAGGGGGAAAAGTTCCAGCTGCGACGCCGTGGTCCATGATCCTTCCGTCAAAGCCGTGTGGACGGCTATGAATCTGGACGCCAAGGCGTCCGCTGTCTCCGGCAGCTTCCCCATGCGGAGCAAGTCTATTGCCTGACCCAAGGCATACAGCTCCCGCAACAATGGGGACCCCGCCACATGATATGGGCGGATCAGCAGCGCGAAGTAGGTCGAGATCTTCACCCCTGTTGTAATGGAGGGCTGAGCGCCCTCTGTTTCGAGGAGGGCCCCTCGATCCAGTTGGAGCTGCGCGTGCTTCACCAGCATCTCCATCACTGAACCGGGCTCTCGAAGGGCCCTCTTCCTCAACGGTGGCTCGTAGCTGAGCTCGCTGTCGGCGTCGCTCTTTGCCTCCTGGTCCTTTGACTCGTCTGTGTCTGAGCTGTCCGAGCCGCTGGACCCTGACCCTCCGGGATCGTCGGGGTCTGGCTTGATGTCCCAGGTGACCCTTCTCTGTCCTTCTGTTGCTGACCTCTTGTCCTTCTTCTTTTTCTTTTTCTTTTTGCCCTTTCCCTTGAGAAGGGCCAGAAGTTGGTGCAACGCATCGTTCTTCTCCTTGGACTTCTTCTTCTCTTTGCGCTGCCGGGCCTCCTGGGCGGACACCTGAGCTGCCTGTGCCAAGAGGGCTGAAGCGGCATCGGATTTCCCAGCCAGCTTCCTCATCAAGTGCTTCGAACCATCGTCTCTTGTATCCTCCAACGCCATCACTGGCGCGGCCATCCGCCGCACGGGGTTCAAGGAGGTC